GATTAATAAGTTTAGAGGTGGTTTTCAAAAAGCGTGGAATGGGAAGGCCCAGTAGTAGATATACAGGGTCTTCTGGTATAGTCTCATCAACTAACGTTTGAAGTAATAATATTGTACGCTTCCAGAAGGGTCGTATCTTGGGACAGTCCCAGAATATATGCAGTAAACTACCCCTTGAGGTCGTACATCTCCAACACACAGATAGCAGCGAAGGATTCATGTGATGCAATAAGTCCGGGGTACAGTGCCAGTGGTAGAGAATCTTGTACTGGTTTTCCTGATATAAAGTACAAATGGAAATCTTACTGGCATTAATCCAGATCTCCTCCCAATCCTCCATGTCCAATGTCCGACCCAGAGACCTCTCCCTCTTGAGCATATAATTATGTTTAGGAAAAGGGACAACGGATATTGAGTTAAGAAGTTTATAAATATCCGATATCAAATGTTTACAAAATGGGCCATTTAAACACAGTTTTTAAATGAAGTTAATGGCGAGAAGGTGAGAGAAGTAGAGACTGTGTATGCAAAGGGTTTGATCTGAAGAAATGTATAAAGAGATCCAGTTGGTAGATTAAACCGAGTTTGCAGAGTATGGAAAGGCAATAAAGTCCCATCCAGTTTATGAACAATATCTCTAAAGCGAAAAAGGGAGTGGTCCAGCCAGGGGCGAGCAGTATGATAATTAAGGGTGGCAGGCAGAAGAGGGGGGGGAATAAAAATGATCTCATAGAGGTAGTAGGTGAGGTAAGATTAAATTTAGGCCCTGCGAGACGCCAGATGTCTTTTGTATGCTGCATAGTTGATAAAAGCGAAGGTGCCTGTACAGACTGGGAGATAGACCATAGAAAGGAGTTTGAGTGTAATGGGGAGATCCAAGGATTTTCTATTTCTGCCCACCTGTTAGGCGGGTGTAGGGAGGACCAGGAAGCCAAATGGCGTAAATGAACCGCTAAATAATATTTAAATATATCTGGGAATGCCAAGCCACCCTGTGATCTGGGGGCTACTAACACTGACCTGGCAACTCTATGACCAGAGGTATTCCATGTAAATTGAATGAGCAAGCGTTGCAAGGCTTTAAGATCGTGTGTAGGGATTTTGACAGGCAATGTCTCAAAATAAGAAAACAATTTAGGCAGAATCGTCATTTTAAGTGATACCATTCTGCCAATCCAGAACAAACGATATGGTCTCCATCTTTGAAGATGATCTCTAATTTCCCGGTACAGAGGGACAAAATTGGTCTTATGTAGAGAAGTCACCCGAGGGGTGAGGTAGATACCCAAATATTTTAGTTTATCAAATTTCCAATTATACGCAAAAGAGGACTGGAGGGAAGACAACGCTTTCTGGGGGATATGAATTGGCATTGCCTCAGATTTAGTTAAATGAAGTTTATACCCTGATATAAACGAATAACTAGACAATTCCCTATGTAAATTAGGTAAAGAGATAAGGGGCTTAGTCAAGGTCAATAAAATATCATCTGCAAAAAGAGAAAGTTTAAAAAACACGTCCTTTAACTTGTACGCCTGAGATGTCTGGAGAATTCCTAATATGATTCGCCAGTGGTTCAATACAGAGAGCAAAAAGTAAAAGGGATAAGGGACAGCCCTGTCGAGTACCGTTACGTATAGGGAAAAAAGAGGATAGTGAAAAAGGAAGTTTAATAGCTGCAGAGGGGGTAGAATAAAGATTAGTAATAACATCTAAAAAGGGTCCCCGTATCCCAATGTGTTCTAAGGTGGAAAATAGTAATGGCCAGCTAAGACGATCGAATGCCTTCTCGGCGTCAAGACTCAAAATCAAGGATTCTGTATCTGAGAGATTCAGAATATCTATAATATCCTTCGTTCGTCTTGTGTTGTCTCCAGCTTGTCTGCCTGAGACAAAACCGACTTGGTCCTTATGTATCATAAAGGAGAGAAAAGGACCAAGTCGTAGTGCCAACCATTTAGAAAAAAAATTTAAGTCTGAATTTAAGAGAGCAATCCGTCCATAGTTGGAGCATTCCAGATGGTCTTTACCAGGTTTGGGAATTACTGTAATATAAGAAACAAGCATAGAAGTGGGAATAGGGGAAGCTGCTAGGAAATCATTGTATAATGTCAACAAGTGTGGAATAAGAATATGACTAAAAGTTTTGTAATACCGGTAGGGGAGGCCGTCTGGGCCTGGGGCCTTACCATCAGGCAAACATTTAATAACTAAGGCTAGTTCTTCAGATGTAATAGGGCGATTACATGAGATAGTCAATAATACGGGTTTTTAAAGTGAGGTCATCAAGGTTAAATGCAGGGTCCTGTATGTTATAGAGACGAGTATAGTAAGCATGGAAGGTAGCGGCCACCTTATCAGGGCTAAACTGTTCAGTACCATTATTATCCCTGATGGAATGAGTAGAGTTTTGAGCCTGGTCTGCTTTAAGCTTACGGGCTAGCATAGTATGGGGTTTGTTACCTCTTTCATAGAATTTCTGTTTTACAGAGAGCATCGATTTCTCCACCGCTGACATATCTAATTGTTGCAATTGGGATCGAACAAAAATAATACGCCGAAGTAAATGAAAAGAAGGGGTAGATGCCAACCGCCGTTGGAAAACCCCAAGTTATATACGTTGAAGCTGTGAGTCACGTTTAAGGTCACTAGAGAGGGCTTCTTGAGATATCACGGGAAGTGTGCATAGGACAGGTCTGAATTTCTGACATCATCAACAGGTATTTTTTGCACTTATGGAACAGATATTTTGTATTGAGATTGCAGTCCATCATTGGCACGAGCTTGGAGCGGTGTCTACTTTATAACGCACACAGGACCATGAGGAACACAAGTAGCCACCCTCTAGAAGGAAGGACAGTGTCAGCACCAATTCAGAGATGATTTGAGGAACTACAGCTGAGCGATACACAAATAAGATACATTTTTGTTAATAGTTAGGGTACTGGAATGCATTCTTAAAGGAGAACTATGGGGCAACCTTTTTTGGCCATAGTTTTCCTCAGGGTCACGGGAGGACATATACTGTGTCCTCCACTGACCCAAAACTCAATATATAGCAGGCAATTGCCCGCTATATGCTGAGAGCATGGCAGCCGGGATGGATCCCGACACTACTGTTGAGTGATTGACAACTCTCTAGAAGCAGTGACAGCTGTGCCCACCCCCTCCATGTCCGTTCCTCCAGTCAGCGCTGGAGAAACGGAGAGAGAGGAACTGTGCAGGGAGTGGTGACTGAAAGTCACCGTTCTCTGCAGGGAAATGGTCGGGAAGTCAGTGATCGGCAGTATGTGTTCGCTGACTTCCCGATCAATAGAGCCGACCTGTGACAGCTTCAGTGTCACAGGTCGGCTTGACTTATTACTTTAAACACACAAAATGATTTGCAGCTCTACGGTATTAAAGAGGAGACAGAGGGGGTGATTTACTAACCTAAACACACGCACGCACTAGGTGCGTGTGATTTTTACACAGCAAAACGTATTTATCAACCAAAAAGTCTCTAAAAGCATATTTCCACTAATGCCATATATGGAAAAATCATGCACATGATGCATATATAATGCTGCTTCACAGTTTAGACAAAAATGGTTAGCTCATGCATTTACATTACTGCATTCATCAACGCAAGAAACACAACATAGAGCTAATTTACCCAACATCACCTTGGAATTCCTTCAGGGCTTTGCACAACACACCTGCTGGGTGTGTACACACTACAAAGGTGTTTAGATTCCACCCATAGATCATGCTGGGAGGGAACACACTACAGAGGTGTATACATGTTCGTGGTGTGTTTATAAGGTTAGTAAATCAACCCCAGAATCTCACTTGTGCCATGGGTCAAGTGTGCAGTTTACATCCTTCATTTGTAAATCCCTCCCGAGTATTTAGGAACAACAATATATCATTTGAGGAGACAATGGGGTCAATTCACAAAGCTTTTTTTCCAGATACCGCTCGTTATTTTAACGATTTTGCACGATATTGAAGCTAGTTCAATTCACCAAACGATTTAACGCTTTGAAAAATCATCAAATAACGTCTCACTTCATGGAACTGATATTTTAAGGTGTGGATCGTTATTAAACGTTTCGATCGTTGTTTTAACAAGTCAAATCGTTAAATATGTACAGAAGTGCAATTCACATTGTATTGACAAGATTTTTTTGCCAGATATCGATCGTTAAGCAATCGTTACATAAGCACCACCCTCAGGGTGTCGTTATGACATTTCCCTGGCGGTATTTCTTTGTTAGAGGAAGCTTTTGGCGACAAAAATTCAGTTCTTCAGTTTTGCAGTGAAAGTGTTTGGTAGTTTGGGGCAAGATGGAACCATTTGGGTGTGCTCTATTTGAACTTAAAACTATCCAGAGCCGAAGAAGAACACATCAGTATGTTGTTCTGATTTATAAACGTGTATTCCGTTCTCGCACTATTTTGGATTACTTTTCTGAAACCCAGGTGATAGCTAAATTCCGTTTAACATCTCCCATGATTCATTTCTCTGTAAGAAGCACTGTTCTCCTCCCCTTCTGCTCCCAGAATGCATCTCTCAAGCGTTATTTTACGATCATAGACGTTATTATTACGTTTAAAACATTAGCATAACGATTGGATAACGAGTCAGTAGAAAACCATAACGACCATCTTGAATAACGATTATAGCTTTCGTGAATACCATGTTTGCTAACGTTAAATAAGGGGCGGTAATTTAACAACTGAAGGAAACCAATAACGTTTCTCTTTGTGAATTGACCCCAATATGTGCAATGTTGTATGTAGGATCCCACTCTGAATAATTGGGCTGATTTATCATTTGGAGGAGACTGAAATGTTACTCATGTTAGTTCCGTAGTGTGCAAATACAGAAAACTGCCATTTGGAAGTGATGAAACTCTGTAGCTTCCAGAATAGACAGTGACATGGACCTTTCATTCCATTCTAAGCTTACATCTGATCTAAGCTTCGGTTACACATAGAAATTTGTGATTATTTACCTGGATGAGGTCAAGAATTCCCAGTTCACTTTCAGAGGAATCCACACAGAAGACAAAGTACAGCGTGGCATAATGACGATATATCAGCTTGTAGTCAGAGCCACCAATCAAGCTATAAAACAGTAATAAAAGCAGTTTATATTAGCCACCAATAGAATTTGCTGTTTCGTACAGCCTTCCAATAAAAACTAAGAAACTAAGGACGTCACCGCTTTTACTGTCCTCAAGTTTTGGCAGGTTAAATGCAAAAAAAATAAAAAAATAAAAACAATAGAAACCATGACACAATCAGGAGCAATTAGAGCATATGTTGTTACATTGCAGAAGAACTTTGGGCACTGCAAGGGTTAACTGCTCGTTTTTTGCCTAGGTGCTAACAAAAAAAATACTCACCTGAACTGCAGAGCTGGCTTGCCCTTAGAATGATCCCTAAAACCACTCTCCCCCTCCGCTGCAGCAGTCTGAAGTCCCATAAATCATCATGTTCTATATGCAGTGTATATGCAGAGGAAGAGACAGGCTTCAGGGACCAGAGAAGCAGGGAACCAGTTCAAAGGGTTAGATGGGTAAAACCTTTATTTTTTTTTAACACCTAGACCCTTGGTTCTCAACTGGTGGGTTGTGACCCCATGTTAAGTGGGTCGCCGCATGCCTTCCACTTTTCTAGGCGAGAGGCTCCTCAGCCTACCCTTAGTGCAGCACTGTCAGTTCTCTATTTAAAATATGGTGCTTGGTGCCAAGTGTCAGCTTGAGGTGGGGTGGGCTTGGGGTATGGCCGTGAGAGAGCTCCATCCATAGGTGCATTGCTTACAGCTCCTTCATGTGTCCTGTAGAGGTGCCTGGACCAGAACAATGTCACATTCTGGCTCAGAGCACCTTTACAGGGCATGCAAGGCAGTTGTACAGGCAATGCACATATGGATGGAGCTCTGTCACACAGCAGCCCACACTGGACCCCAGGCTGAGGATCCACTCCAGTTCTCGAAAGATAGGAGACTTCTTAAGAAAAAGAAAAAAAAATGACATTGTCTTTTGGAGTGTGTATGAATGTGTGAGATTGTGTCTGTCAGTGTTTTTGAGGGTCCGTTCACACTAGTACAGTGTGTTAATCGCACAGTCCCATGTGATTATTGCACTGTACAACACAATCACACTAACAGCGCATTCTGGTGTGGGAGGTGCATTGCATCTGTATCCAACCAGATGTATTTTGACATGTGGCCGGTGGGGCCACCTGTCAAAATACAATAGCTGCAGCGGGTGATTTCTCCACTCACACTGCTTAACGTCGATGCAGGAATCTGTTAAGATTTTTTTTCCATTCAGCCGGAAAGATGAACGAAACAAATCTAACAATGTATGTCCAGCTTAAGGCTGGGTTCACACCTAGGCTTATGGAATATGCGCGTTTGTTGCGCGATTCACTGTAGACAAACGCGCGTTTCCAAGGGCTACTTGGCTGTATCCCAATGGAAACACGCGACAAAAACGCCCCAAAGAAGCTCCTGTACTTCTTTGAGCGTAGAGCGTTTTGTAGCGCGTTCATACGGCCTGTAATAAGCCCAGGTGTGAACCATACCCATAGGAAATAATGGGATTTCGGTGTTTGAGCGTTTTGCAGAGCGTAGGAACGCGCTACAAAACGCCCAGGTGTGAACCGGGCCTAAGAGGAGATATTCCCTCACTTTGTAGAAATTTCCTCTTAATTCCTGATGTGACTCTGGGAAGTAAAGGGAAGCCTCCCTGCACAAAAAAAAAGTTCATTCAAAAATATTCCTTAATAGCCGCAAAGGATATAAATGCATTTTATTTGCAAAAAATGCCTTTGCAAACCCAGTTATTACCTTATAAAGTGGGAGGGACCCAACATGCCCCACCCATTATAGACTGCCTGCAGAAAATTACAGGAGGAGGTGGAGACAAGACCGGTCCCCTTCACAATAAGAGAGAGCATCAGTGACTGGTCTTTATTACAGGAAGCTCCACGTTTCACACGGGATTACTGCACAGGTCTGGAAGGAATACACAAAGCTCACCAAGATTTCAGTAAGAATACACATGACTCTTATATTTAGACAAATTTTGCTTATTAAAAAGTTCAGCTTTAAAGTCTATGTAGACACATTCTTATGTACTAGACAGCAGACATCTACATCTAGAGAACCTCTGAAGAACAACTGACATGCTGCTGTGTGATATGTAAATATGAGAAAACAGCCTTTCTCAGCCAGGGTTCCATGAAACCTTTGGGGTTCCTCCAGGGATAGCTAGTGGTACCTAGAGCAGTGTAACAAGGCACCTACCACTGACCACCAATGTAGGGGTACCTAGAGCAGAGTAAGGGGCACCGATCCTACTGACCACCAGTGTAAGGTGCGCCGATCCTACTGACCACCAATGTAAGGGGCATCGATCCTACTGACCACCAATGTAAGGGGCACCGATCCTACTGACTACCAATGTAAGGGGCACCGATCCTACTGACTACCAGTGTAAGAGGCACCGATCCTACTGACTACCAATGTAAGGGGCACCAATCCTACTGACCACCAATGTAAGGGGCACCAATCCTACTGACCACCAATGTAAGGGGCAGCGATCCTACTGACCACCAATGTAAGGGGCACCGATCCTACTGAAAACCAATGTAAGGGGCACCGATCCTACTGACTACCAATGTAAGGGGCACCAATCCTACTGACCACCAATGTAAGGGGCACCAATCCTACTGACCACCAATGTAAGGGGCAGCGATCCTACTGACCACCAATGTAAGGGGCACCGATCCTACTGACTACCAATGTAAGGGGCACCAATCCTACTGACTACCAATGTAAGGGGCAGCGATCCTACTGACCACCAATGTAAGGGGCACCAATCCTACTGACCACCAATGTAAGGGGCAGCGATCCTACTGACCACCAGTGTAAGGGGCACCGATCCTGCTGACCACCAATGTAAGGGGCACCAATCCTACTGACCACCAATGTAAGGGGCAGCGATCCTACTGACCACCAGTGTAAGGGGCACCGATCCTGCTGACCACCAATGTAAGGGGCAGCGATCCTACTGACCACCAATGTAAGGGGCAGCGATCCTACTGACCACCAATGTAAGGGGAAACTTTTTCTATGATTTCCAATGTAAAGGGCACTGCTCTACTGCCTATCAATGTAAACGAGCACCCCACACATGGAAGGAGCATTCTTCATGGACCACCCAAGTAAAGAGACGCTACAATTTTCATGGTCTGCATTTGTTTTCTGGCCATTGTTATGGTTTGTTTAGTTTCATGATTATTGCAGAAAGTAAAGTTAATGTATAGTTTAGGTAGGAGAAACATCCCCCCAGGGTGTGAAATATACCAGGCACCCCACATGACTTACAACTTCCTGATCATACTAATATACCAGGAGCTGAAGGTAGGGTTCTTCTGTGGTAAAAAGATATTTGGTTTGTTATTATTGTTGAAAATACATTGTTGTGCCCACAAAACCTCCCAGCCGCTCACACTGACACTTGTATGGGACACCAAGCACATTGAACCATCCCCATCATTGACAAGGGTCTGCGGAGAGCCTCCTGCCAGTGGGTGGTCTCTTTACATGACGAGCCTCAGAGAGGGAGAAGAACATGAATGGAAACAAAATTACCTTCCTCCTTCCAGGAAATTACACACATTGTCATCCCGCTTGGACACCAAGTGAAACGTCTCCCTGATGATCTGCTGCTGCATGTCTTCTGCCTGCAGGACACAAGTACACAACGTGAATGAACAGACAGAGCCTGGACCGGGCTGTACTATGTACACACACTGACAGGACCGGGCTGTACTATGTATGCACACTGACAGGACCGGGCTGTACTATGTATGCACACTGACAGGACCGGGCTGTACTATGTACACACACTGACAGGACTGGGTTGTACTATGTACACATACTGACAGAACCGGGCTGTACTATGTACACACACTGACAGGACCGGGCTGTACTATGTGCGCACACTGACAGGGCTGTACTATGTACACACACTGACAGGACTGTGCTATGTACATACACTGAAAGGACCGGGCTGTACTATGTACGCACACTGACAGGACCGGGCTGTACTATGTACGCACACTGACAGGACCGGGCTGTACTATGTACGCACACTGACAGGACTGTGCTATGTGCACACACTGACAGGACTGTGCTATGTGCACACACTGACAGGACTGTGCTATGTGCACACACTGACAGGACTGTGCTATGTGCACACACTGACAGGACTGTGCTATGTGCACACACTGACAGGACTGTGCTATGTACACACACTGACAGGACCGGACTGTACTATGTACACACACTGACAGGACCGGACTGTACTATGTACACACAATGACAGGACTCACGAAGTGCTGGTAGAATCGCATAAATCGCGGTTTTCCATGATTATTGAACACCAGAATCGCCTTAATCATCTTCACACAGCTACAATGAAGAGCCAATCCCTTTCTCTGCCGGGAACAACAACATCCGGCCACGGTGCAACGCGGAATATAGTCCACCTGCTGATTTCAGTTCCGTGGAGATGACAGACATGGTGCAACATGGAATATACTCCCCCTGCTGCTTTAGTTCCGTGGAGATGACATACATGGTGCTACACGGAATGTGGTCCCATGATGTTTTAGTTACGGTGTTGTGTCGAATTCTGTTTCCCTATAAATCTTATTTCCCCTTGCCGCTCGGCTATCTCCTTAACCTCGGCTCTTCCCTAAAGCTGCATGTGTATCTACATAGCCCCGCCTCTCTTCTAGCTCTGGTCTTCTATCAGATAAAGAAGAACGTCTCTCTACCATTGTGTGTATAGCCGCTAGTGTATTTGCATAGCCCCTCCCCCTCTTTCTGGCGTTCTATCAGATAGAAACAAACGTTTCCTCTCCACACTGTATAACAAATCACCTGAAACATGTCACATTACTCCACAGTCTATGTTGAGTTGGCTGCGATCTGACATTTCCTCTGCTACTCTCCTGATGATAAAATAGGCTGCAAAATAAACATTATTTTTATATAGGTCATTTATATAGTCTTGTAAATGCTGCACTGCTCATCCAAATGCACACTGCTCACCCCAATCCCTACTGATCATCCCAATCCCCACTGATCATCCCAATCCACACTGACCATCCCAATCAATACTGCTCACTCCAATCCCTACTGATCATCCCAATCAATACTGCTTACCCCAATCCATACTGATCATCCCAATCAATACTGCTCATCCCAATCTCCACTGCTCACTCCAATCAATACTGCTCACCCCAATCAATACTGCTCACCCCAATCCATACTGATCATGCCAATCAATACTGCTCACCCCAATCCATACTGATCATCCCAATCAATACTGCTCACCCCAATCCCATCTGATTATCCCAATGCACACTGACCCTCCTAACCCACACTGCTCATCCCAATCCATACTGCTCACCCCAATCCATACTGATCATCCCAATAAATACTGCTCATCCAAATCCACACTGCTCATCCAAATCCCCACTGCTCATCCAAATCCCCACTGCTCACCCCAATCCATACTGATCATCCCAATCAATACTGCTCACTCCAATCCATACAGATCATCCCAATCAATACTGCTTACCCCAATCCATACTGATCATCCCAATCAATACTGCTCATCCCAATCTCCACTGCTCACTCCAATCAATACTGCTCACCCCAATCAATACTGCTCACCCCAATCCATACTGATCATGCCAATCAATACTGCTCACCCCAATCCATACTGATCATCCCAATCAATACTGCTCACCCCAATCCCATCTGATTATCCCAATGCACACTGACCCTCCTAACCCACACTGCTCATCCCAATCCATACTGCTCACCCCAATCCATACTGATCATCCCAATAAATACTGCTCATCCAAATCCACACTGCTCATCCAAATCCCCACTGCTCATCCAAATCCCCACTGCTCACCCCAATCCATACTGATCATCCCAATCAATACTGCTCACCCCAATCCATACTGATCATCCCAATCAATACTGCTCACCCCAATCCATACTGATCATCCCAATCAATACTGCTCATCCCAATCCACACTGATAATCCAAATCCACACTGATCATCCCAATTCGCACTAATAATTAGGGATGCACCGATATATCGGCCGCAGAAACATATCGGCCGAAAATTGCACTTTTGGCTAAATGCCGAAAGTGCAATTTTTCTGCCAATACAGCGGTGCATCCATTCTTTCTCTCCTCCCCGCTGGGCGCTGCTGTGTGTCCCAGTGGGGAGGAGAAAAAGTGTCACAGACGGCCAAGCGCTGCAGAAGGGGAACGCTATGAGCGTCCGGTGTCTCTCCTCCCACACCGCTGAGCCTCCTGTCACAGTCCGGCAGAGCGGTGTGTGGGCGGAGACAGCCAGCGCTGTCACAGGAGGCTGGGCTCCCCTCTCTGTATCGCTCACTCAGCTTCCTGTGACAGCTGTCAGAAAGGAGAGCCAATGCAAATAATTGAGGACAGAGTATGGTTACTATATCCTCAATTATGAATAAATGGGAAGTGATCTACATCACCTCCTGTCCATTCATAATTGTGGTTATAGTAAACACACTATGTCCTCATGTTATGAATAAACAGGAACACTCAGTATAGAGGATTCCTGTTCAATGATAACAGGAGATACAGAAAAAGAGATTGAGGACTCCGTGTTTTTAAGTCCCCACCCCCACGTTTATGCACATATAAACGTAGCCCTGTCCCACAATTCATCCATCAGATACCTCCACCCCACAACAATCTTCCCATAGAAAAGCAACATCCTGAGGTACATGGCTAAGGGAACAACATGGGCATACGTTCTGCATTAGCTGAAACAGTTCCAAACAGTTTTGCCTTTGACCTGGTCAGTGGCAGTAGCCTTCGTTGGAACTGTGGAAAGAGTTCCTGGTCCAGTAGTACTCTTTTCAGATATTGTATTCCACATTAAAGGGTGTTGACTTCGTAATCCACACAAGATTAGAATGATAACTGACAGATAGGGTCAGAGGAATTGAGGAACAGTCAATTTGAGGTGTTTAGCTTTCAGAGAAAGCATTCACACATGACATTGACCCTTGAAATAGCGTGGAAGCCATATTGGAGGGGGAACCAACTCTGACAGTAATAGGCAGCTTGCTATCAGAATCAGTTTCCCCTGGACAGATAGGCTCCAGGGAATTGACGAACAGTGAGGATGGTCTATTTGGGGTGTGGGGTGGTCAGAGGTAGCGAACACAAATGACATTGACGCTTGAAATGGTGTGAAAGCCATAATGGGGGAGAGGAACCAAATCTGATAGTAGTAGGCATCTTGCTATCAGAATCAGTTTTCCTTGAATAGATAGGGTCCAGGGAATTGAGGAACAGTCAGGATGGTCTATTTGGGATGTGGGGCAGTCAGAAAGGGCATACACAAATGATTTCCGAACCTTGAAATAGTGTGGAAGCCATATTGGAAGGGGAACCAAAACTGATAGCAATAGGCAGGTTGCTATCAAAATCAGTTTCCCCTGGACAGATAGGGTACGGGGAATGAAGGAACAGTGAAGATGGCCTATTTGGGGTGTGGGGCAGTCAGAGAGGGCGTACATAAATGATTCTGAACCTTGAAATAGTGTTGAAGCCATACTGAAGGGGTAACCAAAATCTGATAACAATAGACAGCTCGCTATCAGAATTGGTTTTCCCTGGACAGATAGGGTCCAGGAAATTGAGAAACACTCATAGTGGTCTATTCAAGGTGTGGGGCAGTCAGAGTGGGCATACACAATTGATTCTGAACCTTGAAAGTGTGGAAGTCATTATGGATGGGGAACCATATCCGATAGCAATAGGCAGGTTGCTATCAAAATCACTTTCTCCTGGACAGATAGGGTCTGAGGAATTTAGGAACAGTAAGGATGGTCTATTTGGGGTGTGGGGCAGTCAGAGATAGCATACACACACGACATTAACTCTTGAAATGGCGTGGAAGCGCTATTGGAGGGGAAACCAAATCTGATAGCTATAGGCAGCCCACTATGTTAATCGGTTTCCCCTGGACAGATAGGCCCCGGGGAATGGAGGCACAGTGAGGATGGTCTATTTGGAGTGTGGGGCAGTCAGAGATAGCCTACACACATGACTCTGACCCTTGAAATGGCATGTACGCCATGATGGAGGGGGAACCAAATCTGATAGCAACAGGCAGGTTGCTATCAGAATCTGTTTCCCCTGGACAGAGAGGGTCTGAGGAACAGTGATGGTGGTCTATTTGGAGTATGGGGCATTCAGAGAGAGCATACACACATGGCTCTGACCCTTGACATGGCATGGAAGCCATGATAAGGAGGGAACCAAATCTGATAATATAATTTCCTGGAAGAAGATTCTTAGGAATACAGGTAAGTATAAAGGGGATTATTTCATGTATCCTTTGGAATGAATGCTACTTTGCTGTCCCAAAGCAAGTAAAATGTAGTGCACTTTTATAAAGCACACCACTATGCTTTATAAATGTGCTGGCATTTGTATTTTCTTAACGCAGCAGAATGGCTCTGGCAAGATCATACCACTGCTTTATAACTGGTGCTTCAAGAGATGATCTCAAGCAGCCATGTTTTGAGAAGGGTAACAAAAGGATAACCTGTATTTGTTTTCTCAAACTTCCTGATGTGAATAATCTCCTTAAAACTCAAGCTTGGAGGGCCAAATCCCTCATATCAATTTTCTTATATATCCAAGTTATTTTTAGTTACACCCTTTTCTTTCAAGAAATGTTTAAGTACTTGCAAAGTGAGACATTCAAGGACTTCTGGACTATAGCCAGAAAATTTCAGCAAACAGAACATTCTCTTAAGAGAGCGTTGTGGTTAACAGTACCTTGACTCTCCTCAACCAAGGCAGAAAGGATTTACAGAATGTGTTTCAAACATTTGAGGATAATCTTATTTGCCTTTTATTGTCAGATTGCGCAATGAGCAGATTATAATGACCCTGGACATGACATGTTTAATCCCCATACAGATTTATTGGTTAGGCCTTCCCAAAAACATCTGGATTCAATGTAAAATGGTTTACACAGTGGAAGCCAACATCCTATTTCTTATTAATAAGACACTTTGGGGAACTAGAGTAGCAATTGCAACACTTGATCTTAATAAAATTACAAGCAGCAATGTTTTACCTAATGACAGCAGTATTTACAATGTGTAGATGGGAAATCTAAGAATAATGCCTCTTCATGTAGCCGAATTCAATATAGAGATTCATTCCGTTAAGATAAAAAAATATACAGTATCAGACAACATCTAAAGATAATTGGGGAATTGGGGCAGGGCTTCTCACATTTGACGCAATAAAAAAGGCATATAATGTTTGCAGTCCATACTACAAGAAACCTAATACACACACAAACTATATAGTTTCAGAACATGTGGCACTGCCAGGACAGAGGCCAGCTTCCTAGCTGCCTGTTTTAAATACAAATAGGAAGTGTAAGTACTTGAATATGTCATGAATTTTAGCTTCTTGTATCCTGCACTCACACTAGGGATACAACACAGGGTTCAGCGCTGATGCTTGACCCGCTTAACGGCATGAAAAAAATTGATGCCTTAGTGACCACAATCTACCTATTACATCTTACGTTGTCTAAGTCGCTGATCCTGGTCACAGTGCCCTTTGTCAAGATGGCAACTTTGCCCTAAAGAAATCATAAAACATACAGAGTAAGTCACCAACACACCAAAATCATCATCATCTAAACATCTTTACTCACAGTGGTCGATCAATAAATGACGGGGAAAAAGCAACATTTTGGAACCACGCAGGGCCCCTTCATCAAGCAATGTGATCGTATTGCCCGACGAAGAAAGCTTGAGTGGTCCTGAAGCGTTGCTATTTTTCCTGAGAATTCATGATCGACCAATGTCAATAAATGTGTTTTGATGATGAAGAATATGATGCGCTGACTTACTTTTTATGTTATATTATATTATGCTTGTCACTACAGTATCCACTGTGACCCAACCTGGGTTATAAGGGTTAGGTATGCAATGGTATATCTGCATTAAAGACAGCATAGACACCTGTCTCAAGGTTACGCTTACACACTAGGCAAGTGTTAACCCCCTCTCCCCTCATTTTGTAAAAAATTAACGATTATTCAGGGAACTTTCTTCACCAAAGAGTCTGCCTAACCATGCTGATAGCCTTTATTCTATGTATAGTTTATAATTATATGTGTGGGAGTTGGCCAGATTTGTGCTTCCTGTTTCCAGTTGTCACACTGATCCACTTATGTGCACTTGCTGTCTCTTATGGCAAGAAACAAGCACAATGATCCTGATTGGCCAATACTTTTTTTCTGCTCAAAACAAATATGACTTTGTTATGCTCCATCAATTGCACTTTAATAATAATTAAAAAAAAAGCTTTCTGTAAACATCACTTCTCTCCTGCATCATGTGACCTGCAGCGGCAGATTATATATGAATGCCAATTAATTAGGGTAAGTTAATTTGGAAATCCTATGTGGCCCTTACGGTGGCTTCCTGGGAAGATGTCATGGACAATATGATGCAAATGGAGGAGTCTGGCTGCTGAGGAGTCTGGCTGCGGTGTACACCGACTTAGCATATCGATATCCGACTTGGAATAGAAGTCCGTTCTAGGTAATTTATTATTGCCCCGTTGAGCCCCCCTAATACAAATGCCCTTACCCTATATTTTTAAAAAGTTTTCCTGTTCTTTCCTTTCCTCTTCCTTCTCTATTCTTGTATCTCCCCTTCCATTTATTGGCTTGCCCCCTCCTCCCCCACACACACACACTTTCTTTTGGGTGGCCCTGTCCTCTGTTGGGGGCTTTAGTTCTCTTACTTTAATGTCCATCTATATTGCGATATTTGTGTTGTCTGTGAAGGTATTTCCAACTTCTTGCTTCATTACAAACATGCACACTGTATAAATAGTTTACCTTCGCTCAACTTTACACATCAAAATGTTTACTGTGTTTGTATTTCTTCTTTTTGAAAATTACTAAAATTAGGATAAGGTAATGCCAGCTGCCAATTTCATTGTCCCTGTAGGAGTGTATGAGTTCCAAATCTTGACAGACTAGCCAGGGTAACCATCAGATATAAAACGTGGATGGGGCCAAAAAAATAAACAAAAGAGGGAAGAAAAGTAGATAACATAATAGAAGATAAAAAACCACAACAACCGTAATAAATTGGAAACATGATAAATCGTGAAGGTAGATATCACCACCTAGTGGACATTTATTGTAACATACAAATAAAGCGTTACTTCAGCGACATACTATAGAATATGTAATACTGTATACGTGTTCTGTGTTTATTAATAGCCACACTAACTTATTTCCTTTGCAAGACCGTTTTAATTTTCAAGCTGCAAGGTATCTTTATTGATTTTTATAAAAACATACAATCACATATAAAATTACATCATTAAATGAGTATATTTTGTTACACATATAAATGTCTTATTACACTTGCATATACAAACAGTTCTAACATAAGATACAAGACAAACAGTCCTGATACTCAAAATACATCTCTTTACAGCTCAGACTTGGCATGAAGAAAAGGAATTACTCCTCGTTATCCGGCATCCACGGAGATTGGTAGATTCTGGATAAATGTAGTTTCTGGTTGCTTGAGAGTTACTATTAAAAATGGGTCTAACTAATGCCATACCCCATACTATACCATGACACACACTCTGTATTTACTTTATATTAATATTGAAAATCAGAAATCAAAAAGCAAAGAAATAGGCACACGATCGTTTCCAGGATAATACATGCCACAGATCAGCAGAACAGTGAGTACACAGGGGGATTTTTTTTTTCTCTGGTTAGATGAGAGTTTGGGTTAGTTGAATTCCAGATAACAGAGTTTACTGTACTGTGTTCTGGTTGAAATACAATTTACGACAACAGATGTATTGGTAATCTCTACTGTACACTTCCCCCTCAAAAAAAAAACACTCCACAGTTTAGTTTGACCTTGTCACTGAAATTAAAATGCAGTGGATGATTTCGTATTAGTTTAAGGTGGATCTCGTTATAGGGCGCTTCTTACTGTGAAGTCTAGGTTGAACCACGGCACATGCAGATGTTAAAGAGGAACTTTACCCTTATCTTAAAAATGACAACAAAGGCACCTTCAGAAATGTTTACTAATGACAATCTGCAAACAGTTACTTCACTGCAGACTTTTTATTCTTTGCATACCTTATTTTGCTTATCCTTCCCATTCTTCTCACGATGGCCAGATTAATCAATCTCCCTTTACTTCCTGGAACTCTAGAACATTTGACTAGGACATGTAACCCTACACATCATCCCACCAGGGGTAAATGCCTCTCGCTAGATATTTCTCAGCAATGCACTGCTGATGCAAACCTTCTCAGGAGTAAGGATGGGCTCGGGAGTGTTCGCAGCACCACGTGCCGAGCCCGCCAGGAAGCTGACAGCGCGCAGTGCCAATCACAGGCAGGGAGACATATCCCGCTCCGCAGCTGCAGAGATCGGGAAATGTCTCAGTGCCTGTGATTGGCGCTGCGCGCTGTCAGCTTCCAGGCGGGCTCGGCACGTGGAGCAGCGAACACGCCCGAGCCCATCCTTACTCAGGATGCTCTTAGGATCTCTTAAACATGGGCTACATCACTAATGCCTAAGAGGACCAGGAAGTTGAAAAAAAAGTAATTATAAGTAAAAGAAAAATATGTTTATTTAACTAATGAATGTAGAATGATTTCTTATCAGCATGCTGATGTGATTTTTAGTGAAAGAGGGTAAAAGGTCCACTTTAAGGTGCTCCATGGCGGTCATATCTAAATTGATGGGTTCAGTCCACCAAGAAAATGTGATATACAGCAACCGTTGTTAGCAAAAGGAGTGTAGAAGCTGGGGTTTACTTATCACAACTAAAAACCTCTTTTAGTGTGCAATCAATCAGTATATAATCGTATGCAATAAAATAGTTCCCTTGTTATTTAAATGCAATTGGAATGTTTCAGGAAGTACCAATGTGCAATTAAAAATACAGGCATACAAATAAAGCTTTTACTACAGGCATGTTAAAGAAACCACACCTTTGGCCAGTTGCCCGATTCTAGTCTTTTGTGTAAACACAAGTGAAATTGCATGTACCATGATTGTACTACGAATGTTCTACGCTCAAAGCTGTCAGCGTTTATAGCTGCAGGAACCCTAAGAAGGTACTCCCTGCTCTATACTGTACATGAATCAGATTGAGGCAGAGTTGGAACTACTAATCGATGGATTTATATACTTTTTCAGTCTGGGAGTGCTTTGGGTCTTTTGTTGTGGTAACTTGGTCAGAGAAAGGTCAGCAGGAATAAACGACACCTTCTCAATCATCCTAAAATCAAAAAAAAAAGCAGAAACAAAAATAAGTTATACTAAAAATATAAATCATGAGTTAAAACAAACATATGTAGGTAGATTAGACAGATTTAACACATGGACACACATATTCCTATATCACTTTTCTCCCTGAGGACTCAAAGTGCTTTTATATGCTGTTGGAGTAAATGGCGAGGCAGCCATCTTGGGCACGCTCAGTAGCATTTCATATTAAAAGGAGAACTGAGGTGAGTGCTTTTCACTTGCCTCATAGTTCTAGCCGACCTGTGACAATGAGACTCTCACAGGTCGGCTCAGTAGATCGGGAGGTGAGCGAACAGTTACCGGCGTTCGCTCACCTCTCGATCCTGTCACGGCTCTCTGCCGTGACAGGGGAGGGGCTTGATTCCCCCCTCCCCGCTCCGTCAGCGCTGACTGGCGGAACGGACGGGGGAGGGGGCGGGTACAGCTGGCTCTGTTTCTAGATAGGCAGAGCCAGCTGTCAGTCACGCAGCTGGGAGCGATCCCGGAACAATTGTCGGGATCCGCTTCAGCGTCTCAGTATACCACAAGCTGTAGCTCGCGGTATACTGAGCCTAGGGTGACGGGAGGATGCTAGTTTGTGTCCTCCCGTTACCCTAAGGAGAACAATGGGGAAAAGACTTACCCCCATAGTTCTCCTTTGAGGCCAATTTTGGAGAGCCAATTAACGTACCAACTAATCCACTCAAGCACAGGGAAAATGGCAAACTCCATGCGTCTAGTGTCACGACAGGGACTGAAACCAATGACCCCAACGCTGCACGGCACTAGTGCTAACCAATAAGCCACCGTGCTTCGCTATAACACTAAGCCACTGTTTTTCGTAATTAGCACTAATCACAACGGTTACTGTTAACCACAGTGCTTCCCAGATCAGTGACAGTAGCATCTATATATCTATCGGTCCCAGGACTCATGATATCAGAATCCATAAACAAATACAAGTACTTGGCTAAAAAAATAACAATATGTCAGATATAACAACCAAAATTTGATGACAATTTTATTAGTTAAAAAAATGGTTGGCCGATCACAGCACGGCCCTGAGTGTGCACATTAGAAAGTCTCTAAACCTTTTGTTTTGTCACAGTAAACTTTATTGCCGGAGAATACAAAATGCATAAAAGCCGATGCAAGAAAACACAAAAGCTTTAAAAGTCTAATAAAAGGAAAACCGGTATAAATCACAAATCTTATTTCTATCTAAAAAGATATCCAGGGCATGCCATCAACAAAAGCTCTTACGTGATCATACGCATTCAGGGTTATGCACAAAAGGGTGAAGAGTTTGGAGGAGGCAGGAGAAGTGAGCAATCTAGGACAACATAGCTGAGCTGGAAAGTGAGCTGAATTGGGAATTTTTTCCAGTTCAGCTATCTTGTCCTAGATTGTTCATTTCTCCTGCCTTCTCCAAGCTATGCACCCTTTTGTGCATAACCCTGAATGTAAATCTGCAACCAAACATACAGTGTTGGATTTACATCTAGTAGTGGACTAAACTTTCAAAATGAAGTGGTGCTGCTCATTACTTAGTTTTAGTAATCCTGGAGTACCCTGGGAGTTCCAACATTCAGAGTACAATATTATGCAAATCTTGATTTTACCTAGAATGGGGGCCTGCCTGACCAGTAGTGATATTAGGGAGGTGGTATGGGCAAGACTAAAAGCCAACTTTTTGTGGCATGTCTAGAGCCCCATATCACCCTTTGTTTTGGGGCTCTTCAGGTATAAAGCTAGTGCAGGTAGCTCCAAATACCTACAATAAACCTAATGGGTCCAGTACAGTTTCATAAAGCCCAGTATAGGTATATTTTAAGATTAGGGCTGGTAATTATTAAAATTTTCGTGTTCGAATAATCAAATCGATTAATTATAACGCACATACAGATCCAACTACATTGGCCTATACAGCACAGCAATGAAGTAATAAAATGAACTAGGATCACACTAATTCAGCACGTTATTAATCTCACGTGCCCCACTCAATATGGCCGCCGCTTGAGTGGGGCAACTCAGAATAATAACGTGCTGGATTAGTGTGATCCTAGTTCATTTTATTACTTCATTGCTGTGCTGTATGTGTATAGGCCAATGCCCTGGCTGGCGCTCGTGCAGAAAGTTTCTTGGGCAAACTCACTGGCCAAAGTGGCTCCGTCGGCTAACGAAGGGGGGAGGAGTCCGGTGACGTCGATGTTCGTGACGTCACTGGATCGCCGACGGGACTCCCTGAAGCCGGCAGAGAGGTGAGGTGTTTTCATTAGCGATCAAAATAATTTTAATCGATCAAAAAGTTTAACGATTAATCGAGAAATGAATCTTTAATTTCCACAGCACTATTTAAGATGCATATTGTAATCAACATTGTCATACCCATTCATCATCTTCTGCGCCATCGCCTTGGCCCCGGGACTCAGGAGCAGGTGCGCTGCTGCGAGATTTGTTGGTCATTATGTTGTCTGTCCAAGATGCCCCAGTTTGAGAATCACCAGCAAAATTGCACTTTGTCACCGTTCCACTGTCAAGTTTCGCTAAAGAAACTAAAAGAGAATGAAAGAATCACAAAGCTGAATCAATGTGAAGGTTATAAGAACATCATCCACCATTTTTCAGGTTCATTTAGAGAATGCTACTCATTAGGGATGCACAGATAGCATTTTTGACCATCCTGTAAACATGACTGAAAGCACTGTTGGAGGTTAAAAAATTAAAGTAGACTCTTAATGATATTCATGCTTCTATCATTAAAGGAGACCTGTTAAAAAGGTTGTCAATGCCTACCATCTTCTGAAAAGATTAGTAGCCTGGCTGTCTCTAGCTTCAGTACTTTGAGTCACTAACTCAAAAAAGCACGCAGTAAGTGAAGTCAGCAGGAGGTAAGAACTAGGACACTTTCTCCAGATAACTGAAGTCTTTGGGTCAACATAACAGCCACACAACTAGCATTTTTAAAGAGTTCGGCACTGCCAGTATTTGCAAGGTACAGGTTTCTTTTAACGCAAATGTGCTTAACATTATTGCATATAACAGAAGTAAAAATACGCACACAGAAATGGCCCATCACCAATTGTCTTCACACGCAACTGCTCTCCGGCTTCCAGTTCAGTTTTCTCCATCTCGGCTTCTGGGAGCCAAAAGGCCACCGTGTCCTTGGGGAGGAATTTATCACTAATCCTTGTGAGTTCCTCTTTGTTGATGAGACTTTTCAGCTCCTCTATTGAAAGTTTGTCAGTTTCACCTTTTGCTTCCACCTCTAGTGACAAAGTAAAGCAATTTATTATCAATAACGAACACAAATAATGTTTCTTCACCTTTTAATGAATGCCTTCTACGTGTGGGATATTTATTCTTCCTAAAAACAATTTGAGTTGGCACAGGGCATGCCACAGAATGATGGGTGCATTACATTTTAGGGCTCATGTAGATGGGCTGCGTTCTGAGTTTGGATGCACATGTTTGTTAATAAAATTTTTAAAAAACACAGTACATGAGCTTGAGCAGCCTTTCATTGGCTAGTAGCAGGGGGTGCTTTGAACAGGTTTTCGGTGAAGAAACTGTAATGGATTTCAATGACACTGCCTGTGTTGGAAGAAACACAAAAGCAGGTCAAACATAGTCATTCACACTTTTAAAGTGTATTTCCACTTGCAGTAAAATTTTAGAAACACCCATTTTGTTTATTAATGTGCTCCCATTTGCACAGCATACATAAAAAAAAGAAGAAGAAGAAGAAGAAGAAGAAGAAGAAGAAGAAGAAGGAGATAAAGGGAGATTCCAGGCTACTCTGAGCAGTTTGAAAAAGTGAAAGAAGAGGGACAGACCGAGCTTCCTTAAACATACAATACTTTTAAATCTTTAAAGCAAAACTCCAGGCAAATCAAATCTTAGCCCTTGCAATGGGCCGGTCATGGGCCATTTGCGGCTCGGGACCGGCCCGCATTCACCTGTCAGTCATCTGGCTGCTATAGCCAGAGAGAAGAAGCTGATGAAGCAGATCGGTGCTTCATCAGCTTCTTTTGGGGTCCCCAGGTGACATTAGGGGTCTTTAAGACCCCTAATGTCTCCATAAAGAGGACATGTCAGTGTGCCTTTGCTATTATATAGGGGGATTGCTATCCTCCTATGTGATAGCAATAACAATAAGTGTAAAATAAATAAAAAACCCCAACATTTACGCACATATAAAAACGTAAATACGCGTTTGATGCGCCAATTAAGCAGCACTTGTTACATATCGCCGCGAACGTCGGAGTGAGAGCAAGCATTTTAGGGCCATCAATCACTGATAACACTAAACTGATGAGCG